TTTTATTTCTAATGTGGTAGTCTGATAGAACAGAATGCCTTAAAATGTCAAACTGAGACTTTACTGACAATGGAGGAAAATATAAAAAATTGTGCCAAGGGGTAAATGATTATTTTCCAGCACAAGTATAAGTTTGTGTCAAAAAAGGAATTTTGAATTTCATTCTAACAAATAAAAGAACTGAGTACATTTGACACACACTACTTTTAACAAGCATCTGGAAAGTCTGTTTTTCTTTAATACAAACTTAAAAAATTAATAAAAGATTACTATAGTTAATATGTTTCCTCCCTCCAACCTTCAAATACTTAGTTTGAGTATTCAGTTTAGTATTCAGTAACCATCTCTTCTATAAAAATCTGTAAACATGTAGTTACGTTCCCCCAAAGGATCCCCTCTTCTTTGAGATACATAAATTAATTTCTTAAATCATTTTAATTATACATGCAAAAACAAACAAACAAGCAAAAACCCAACAACCCTACAAAAGTAAGTATTACAGATAGCCAGAAGGTACATAGTTCTGTGTAGATACTAGCATGAACTGAAAGGCACACAATGTAAAATCTGAAGTACATTTACTTTCTCTAGTGTAAAAAACATTCCAAGTCAGATAAATTGTTCTTTAAATACATCATCTTATTTTTAAGTAGAAATTTCAAAGACTATGGTCTGAAATTTGTCATTGCTTGTTAAGCACTTAATTACAGAAAAGTAATACACAATTGGCAGTTAGTGACTAGAGCTTTTAGTTTTGTTTAGTCCAGTTTTGTATAGTACATGAATGGGCCTGTTGGCCATTTGATTATCTATCTCTATGGCTAGAAATCTAGGACAAGAACCAAGAGCAAAGATCTTACACTTATTATTTCAAGACTAGGGGCCTCCATCTATTTCAGAACTTCAAAATCTATTAATAAACATATGGCAGAGTGGAACTGCCATCTGCTGACAAGACAGCCTGGATATTACAAATGTGAAGCTTTGATTGTACAAATCTTTGAATTTTTCAGTAGAAATCTCTTATTATATATTTCATTATTGTACATAAGACCCCTATCCATATATTATTATATGTAGTATTTTACTTACCACAGAGACAAATCTATGTAATCTCTTTAGGCTATATGGATATTATGTTAACACCCCTTTTTTTGAGGGGGCGTTATCTTTTCATAACCATTTCATAATTTCTTAAGAGAATCAAATTAATGTTACTGTCGAAGTCCAAGACTACCTATAACCCCACATGAAATTAACAGTTACCAATTTAATGCCTCTCTGAGCTATAAACTTAATTTTGTTTACAGTTGACCATATTCATAATAAACTGCAAAACATATAACAAAATTTAAAAAAAATCAAGTTATTTTAGTCTGTAATTTCTCTTTCTACTCACCACTCTAAAAGGAAATGTACTATTTATTCTATCTTCTTTTTATTGAAACATTAAAATAATACAGATGTAACAATACCAGAATTTGTATACTGTAACTTTGACTTGCTGTCTTTGGGATCCACATTCTACAGCTGTGTTATAAATTGAAACCATTTTAAAGAAGGTCATTGTAGTTCAGAAACTAAAATCCTTTAAGAATATATAAGGCAGACATGCATCTATTTAAACATTCACTCAATACTGAACTATCACACCTTGGTTTCAATACAGAAAGCACCAAAACCCATCTCAGAAATTTGAAATTATTAAAGGTTCTCCAACACTTGGCCCTGTCTCAGAAATGACCTTACTTCTCTCTACTGCACTATGATACCTGCTTCTGTTCTAGCTAAATTCATCTACCTGCTGTCTTTGACTAGGCCTGCTCAATTTCTACCTTTATCTGCACTTGCAATGACCTTCATATTCTTCTTCATCACTTTCCTTATTTTCTTCAAAATCCAATTCAAAACTCCATGCATGTAATGAATTGTGATGAGGAACCTATTCAACACAGAAATATTTGGTTTGTATTATATTCACTTGTAGTTGATCACTGAGATAAGGAAGTCATAGGAAAGGCATGAGAGTTTTCTAAGGACTTGAAAACTTTTAGGACTGACATGTCATTGACTGCCTTAGGTGACAGGCATTCACTTAAAGTTTACATAGAGTCTTCAAGCAGAGATTGGATGGTCATTCATTTGTTAGGACTGTGGTAGAGGGGATTCCTATTCAGTTATGAATTAGAGTAGATGATCTCTGATCTCTTCCAACTCCAAGATTTTGTGAGGTTTTGTTCTGCACATCTCCAGCAATTGTTTCTCACATAAGTATTTTATTTCCTCAACTAGAATATAAACCACTTTATTAATAAAAGCCAAGCCTTGTAATTCCAGTACAGTCTTCTGCACACAAAGTAGGAATGGAATAACTCTTATGAATTAGTCTATTAATTTTTCTCCTTTCTGTGGAGGTCTAATCACAAATTCTGTGATGCAGATAGAATACAAGAGTTAGAGTCCTAAGATCTGGGTTCAAATCCTAGCTCTGCTTCTTACATACTATGACTTTTACACAAACCCTGATCCACAGATACACCAGTTTGCTGCTGCAAAATTTTAAAGGAAAAAATTACAATTTTTATATATGACACATAACTTTTGTTACCAAAAGTGTAAGACTGTGGGCCCCAGTGAGGTAAAAAAGATGGACTGACTTTTGTTTCAAGAAAGAAATTCCTTTGAAATAACAATGGAGTCATGCTATTTCTTCTCAAGGGTTCTCTGGGTTTTAATAATCAATACAAATTATAAAATATTTTCATTATGCTTTGTTCACAAAGTAAGATTCTTTTCTTGTCTGTATGACCTCAGGTAAATAACAACTTGATCAGTTTTGTTATAACATGAGAGAATTGGACTAGGGTATCTTCACTAAGTTGTTCACACACAAAAAATGGAGAAAAGAAATTCTTCCATATATGATAAAATAAACTTTGGTATACTATTAGTAATTGCCATTATAGAAAAAGTATTGTAAAGTTTAAAAGCTGAATATGTACTTTAAGAACTAGAAACATGTCAGCTTAATATGTGGTTCTTTAAAATACTTCTAATATGAGAGAATCAAAAGATTACACGTTTAGAGCTGGAAGGGGACCTTAGAGGCCATCTAGCTCAACATATTTATTCTACAGATGAAGAAACTGAGGTTCAGGGAGGTTAATCGACTTAGCCTAAGGCTACACAGGTAGAAAAAGGGCTTGAAGCCAGAGTAGAACCTCTAATTTTAGAGGTAGTACTCTTTTCAAGAAGAGTATTCAGTAAGTGTCTAAAATTTTTTAAAGCTGTTTAGTTGACTGCTAATGTCAATTTCCTTAAAACTTTCCACAAATTTCTCTTTTAATCTTTTCTTTATGCATAATTTGTTGTTTTGGTCTGAACTTATTATTTCAGTACTCGGAGGAACTCCTGGCAAGGAAAAAAAAAGTCTTTCAACTAGTGCAGACAGGTAAGCAAAATATGTACCTGTTCTTATTTCACTTCTAAGTTGCATTTATTTAACATATATTATAATCTCAATCACACCTCTATCACCGAGCTAGACAAAAACCAAAGAATTAACTTTATTACACTCTAGAAGGAAAAACTGAAGTAGAATTGTTATTAAGGGATGGATTCAGGTTTCCTAACAATAACTTGGTTAACTTTTTAAAAAAATTCTAGATCAGATCTACAGTATGCATGTTTGCATAACTTTGTGCTGTTTTTGGCACCCTACAGATTGCATACATGAAAGGATCACTGATGTGAATAATACATGAAAACCATCTTAATCTTTAATTTTAGCAATCCTCAATTTTATATGTTTCTTTTACATATTCACATTCAAGGATCACAGTTTGATTTAAGATAACAAAGCCTCACTCTACACAACAGATTCATTTGTGCAGTGTCAACACGATTTTTGTAAAAATCAAAGAGCCTAATTAAAGGGACTTTAGAATTTCTGTAGTTTAACTCTCTTAGTTTACAGAGCTGGAAAGAGGCTCAGAAAGATTAAATTACTTTTCAGTCAAATAATGAGTAAACATTTCAAATGTAGAGAGCTAATTTAAAAGTTTACTTTCTAACAAATGTAGTTAAAAACCCCAACACCCAATCTCTTTCCCCCTAACCCGAAGTTTTCTATCAAAGGCACCACCATTCTGCTGGTAACCTCAGTCATTTCTGATTCTTCCTTCTCGATCCAAATCGTGTAGATTCTACCCCTGCATTATCTCCTACCACTTTTCTCCTCAGTTCATAGTGCAGCCATCGTTGCTCAGGCTCTCCCTTTATACTCATTCATAAAATAAGGGACTTAACTGAGATGAGCTTCAGGGTAACTTCAGTCTCGAAACCTAGCATCCTAATAGCTGACTTCCAACCTATCCTCTCAAATTTGGAGTCAAAGGCGAGTCTGGCGCAAGCTCCAGCCAGCACTGCTATTTCACCACCAGTAAGTATGACTCTGGAAAAGTCACTGAACATTTCTCTGGGCCTCAGTTTCCGCATCTGTAAAGTGAAAAGGTCGGGCTAGATAACCTCAGGGTCCCTTTCAGCTAGAAATCATATGATCTAACTGGTTACTACTACTTTGCGAATACAGCACTAAGTTTCAACTGGATCTTTATTAGAATTGGGGCTCTGGGAGCAGCGGAATTGGAAACCAGCCAGCAGCTGTAGGTCCTTCTGACCACATTCCTCGAGGGTATTCTTTACAGAGAGGGAAACTAAGTCTCGTTCAGGAAAGCCGGTTACGGACCCTGCTATTCCCTAGTATCACGACATAAAGCAATGAGGTACTGTGGCCAAACTTATGCGGTGAAGGGAAAAGGGCAGGCTCTCCCCGAAGCGGAGGAAAGTGGGGAAGACCCAACGGCCCCAGACTCCCTCCCACCCCCCACCCCCCTTCCCTGGCCCCTCTGCTGCAGCTCCAGCCTCAGCCGCGGAGTCCGGCTAGACCCACGGAGTTTCGTCTAGGGCGGTCAGGGAGGGACAAAGGGCTCGGCACTCACCTCTTCCACCTCGATCTCCTTATAGTCGATTTCTTCGAAGTTGAGGACCTGCGAGGGGGTCTCGATCATCTCACCCGCCGAAGAGGAGGAGGAGGAGGAGGCAGCGGAGGCAGTAGACATGATCCCTCTCGGCAGCCGGGGGGCCCCGTCAGGAGGCCGCCCCGACAGTCCGGAGGTCTGCGTCCTCCGTCGTCCGGACCGACCTTCAGCCCGGACACCAACAGTCCGGGGACCCGGAGGCCCGGGGAGCAGTAGACGGGGTAGCGACCGAGGCCGAGTCCCGGCTCGGGCTCGATTGCGTTTTCCGGTCGGGGAGGGGAGGACCCGCCTCCTGATCTTCCGGTTCCGCTCTGGAACAGGAAGAAGGGGCAGCCGCGGGTCTGGGCTGCAAGACTTTGCTTTGCGGTCTCGGCGCACTGTATCCTGGGAGCAGTGAAAGAAAAGGAACGGGGCAGTTCTAGCCTGGACCTTCAGAGTAAGCGTCGCGAGTGTTGGGCCGCAGACCCGCTTCTCTAGATGGGAGATCCCGCGAGAGCTGGGGTGCCGACCGGAGTAAAAAGCGCGAACATATGTGTTGCTCTTGGCTGGCAGGTCCGCCGGGGAACGGTCGTGGTGTGTTTCCTTGGGCAAAGCGGGAAAGTCTTGGGTAGTGGAACCTGACCCTCCTCAGTTGAACTGACCACCACCTGTCTTTTTCGCTCCCTAATTTGGGAAGAAAATTCCTAATCCCGCCCCTGGAGCGCCCTGTGTGTGTAGGGCGCAGCGGCGGAGGGAAGGAAGCCGAGGTCTTTCCTCCGGGCTGCGAATTGCTGGACTCATCCCCATAAACATGCATGTCCCGCCCTGACCTCCCACCGAAATTCGAGCTGTGGCTCCTGGGAGCACAGAATGTGTTTCCTCCACTTAATGACCTGTGAAAGAAGTAGTAAAACCGACTGACAATTTTATTGACCATCTGCCCTGTGGCTAACAACGTCAGATGCAAAGTAACCCTATGCCAGTGCTTCTGTGCCCAGGGAGTCAATAATGGGAATAGTGGAGTCGGGGCTTCAGGCTCCTTCACTGTCAGCAAATATACTTCCTCAGTTCTTACCAGTTTTGAGTGATCCTCTCCCAAGAGAAACCAGTCAGTCCCTCAACTATCGGCTGCATGGCGAAGTGCCTGGAGCCAAGAAGTTGTTCAGTCGTTTACGACTCTTCGTGACTCCATTTGGGGTTTTCTTGGCAAAGGTACTGGAGTGGCTTGCCATTTCCTTGTGCTCCTTTTGTAGATGAGGAGACCGAGGCAACAGGATTAAGTGACTTACCCACAGTCACACAGCTAGTAAGTGTCTGAGAACACAGATTTGAACTAAGGTCTTGACGCCACGCCTAGTGTTCTGCACTACTGTTTAGCTGTCCTAGAGTAAAGAAAACCAGAGTTCTAACCTCAGACACTAGTAGTGGGACCGTGGACAAATTATTAACCCGTTTGCTTCAGTTTCTGTAAAATGGGGATAATAGCACCTTCTTCACAGGAATGTATTGAGGCTCAAATGAGGATAATTGTAAAGCGCTTGGCACATTGTAAGCTCTATATAAATCATTATTATTATTAGGCGTTCTAGGTGTCAAGCACTATGCTAAGAGCTGAGGATACAAAGTACGGGAAAAACTCCCTGCCCTCCAGCTTACATTCTAATAAGGAGACGTGTAAATAAATAGGTACACACAATACACGTAAGCTTTAGATTGGAGGGTAAAAGAAGAGAAAGATCTAACTGCTGAGACCCGAAGGAGGGGGCGGGATGCTTGAAAGAAGCTGGGCATTCTAGGAGGCAAAGGTGAGGAGAGAGGGCGTTCAGTTGGCTGGTATAGCAGTATTTAAAGTGGAGGAGATTAGAAAGATTGGAAGGGTAGGAATTTAACTGCCCCCCCCCCAAAAAAAGACTTTATATTTGATCTTGGAGCTAATAGGAAGCCACTGGAATTTATTGAATGGGGAGGGGAATGACATGATAGACTTGCACTTTAGGAAAATCATTTTGGCAAATAAGTAGAGTATGGATTTGAGTGGGAAGAGATAAGACGGTGTGAAGGAGACCAATTAGGAGGTTATCATAATAATACAGGCAGGTGATAAGGGCTTAAACTGGGGTAGTGGCTATGTGTGAATGGAGAGCAGGAGACACACAGGAGAGATAAATAGTAAAAACCAAGATTTGATAACATTGAATATGTGAGATGAGTGAGAGTGGAGTAGAGGATGACCCTAAGGTTGTAAATCTGGCAAACTGGGTGGAGTGTGGGGGTAAAGATAATGAATTCTGGTTTGGATATGTGGAGTTCAAGATGCCTTTGGGACATCAAAAGAAGTCTCAGATTGTTCTCTGTGCCATACAAATTAGAAGACCTCAATTCCTCTGCTTATTTGCTGGGGAGGCAATTTCAGATCTGACCTATTTCTCCAGGCATAATCAAACCCTTGCCTTACTGTCCTATATATGAGGCAGATACTACAAGTAGTATTTCTTTCATGATTAAGAAAACTGGGGCACAGAGAGGCTTAAATAACTTGCCCAGGGTCACACAGCCAGCAGATGTCTGAGTTAGCAGTGGAAATAGCTTTGGGTACTGGAAAGAGTTTTGGATTTTGTGTTAGATGATTTAGGTTTAAATGTAGACTGCTATGTATTTCTCATGTGACCTTGGACAAGTCACTTAACTTCTCATTTCAGGTTCATCATGTGTAAAAGGAAGTTGAAGGAGTTGAACTAGATACTCTCTTGGGTTCCTGCCAAGATCTAAAATCACAAAACTATGAATTCTTGGCATATAACAACATTTAAATTTTTAAATTATGATGCTTAATATGATACATTTGATCTTACCCTATAACATTGGTATGCCAGGTGCTTTCACAACACACTTAGCTCAGGTGGTCCTTGGACAAACACAGACCTTGTATTTCACTTGCATAGCCCTTAGAAAACACAAGGTTACCATACTTCAATGAGGACCCAGTTTGGTACTTTTACACAGTTTTTTCTTCTCTTAAAACTCAAGTAACTATAATAGTTATAAGGCTACATGCAATATAGGCCTCATAAAACAAAAGCTCTAGCCCATCTTATAATTCAGTTTCCATTTGCTTTCCTCTCTTCTTTTATTCTGTGACCCAGAATTAAGACCACGTGTTCCATTCCATGTTCTCCATGTCAAGCTTCCCCGTGATCCCTGCTCTTCATATTTCAAGGACCTTTATGATCTGGTTTGACCTTGTCATTCCACCTTTTCTTTATGTACTCAATGCTGCTGCCAAACTGTTACGTGTTATTTCCCATGAAAGTTCTGTACGTTTCCATCTCTGTGCTCTATATCTGGAATGCATGAAAATCTTCCCAAATCCTTTAAGCCTTAGTTGGTTAGCCATTTCTTCCAAGAACCCTTTCCTAATCTCCAACCCCTACCTCCGAAACTTAAAATAATGTTTTGCTTTTCTCTCATGTACTTATATAAATATTCAATCACTTCCTGTCTACTGGATGCTTCCTTACTGACTCCAAACATGCCCAGGTTGTTCCGTCCTCTAAATACCCTCACTTGCTCTGTTCGTCCTCACTAGCTATCATCCTATATATCTTTCCTTTTTGTGGCCATCTCTACTTCCTTTCTTATCCTCTTAACTGCAGTCTGGTTTCCAACGTCACCATGCAACCAAAAATGTTCGCTCCAAAGTAATTAATGATCTCTCAATGGCCAAATGTAATGGTCTTTCTCAATTTTTGTCCTTCTTCACCTCTCTGCAGTATGACATTGATCTCCCTCCATTCTTGGATACTCTCTCTCTAAAATGTCATGATAATGTTGGTTCTCCTCGGTCCCATTTGCTAGATCTTTAGCCAAGTTGTGTCCGATAACAGTGGGTGTCCCCGGGCTCTCCAGCAAACTTGTATTAAAGTCTTACTCATTGTGCTAGGCCTTGGAAGAGATACAAGGATTAAAAGTAAGTTATAGTCCCTGTCCTAATTGGGCTTACAATCTAATCAAGGGATATGGTACACACAAAATTAGCTATAATAGTGACTCACCTAGTGTTTATTAATTGCCTGCTGTGTGCCAGGCACTGGGTTAACCACTGGGATTACGAAGAAGGGCAAAAAACTAAACCCAAAACAAACCCAAAAAAACTAGTCCATTCTCTCAAGGAGCTCACAGTCTAAGGGAGGCAATTAAGAGATTATTGGGTCTGCCCACTCCATCCATGCCCTTTAAGAGAATTTCCAGTGCAAGGGCTGCATCAAAGTCACAATCATAGCCTTGTATTTGACAGGACTTTGTCTTCCTGGAGAACCACCTTCAGTGTAAAGCTGGAAATAGCTTGTCTTTAAATTCCATCTCCTAGTTTTCCATTTTATTTCACTTTAGAGGAACATCAAGAAACCATGAACAGCTTCAGCAATGATGAATTTAACTTCAATTTCCTTGATGAAGGTTTTATTGCTAAGGATATTCCAGACCAAATTAATGAAATTTCTTCTGATGACAAAGTTGCCTTCTATGTTGCTGACCTTGGTGACATCCGAAAGAAACATCTGAGATGGTACAAAGCTCTTCCTTGAGTAACTCCTTTTTGTGCTGTTAAATGTGACGATAGCAGAGCTATAGTGAAGACGCTGCTGTATGAGCAGGATTTGATTGTGCTAGTGAGACTGAAACACAATTAGTACAGAGTCTTGGGGTGCCTCCAGAGAGGATGATCTATGCAAATCCATGCAAACAGGTATCACAAATTAAATATGCTGCCAACAATGGAGTACAAATGATAGCTTTTGATAGTGAAGTAGAACTAATGAAAATTACCAGAGCTCATCCAAAGGCAAAGCTGGTTTTGAGGATTGCCACTGATGACTCCAAAGCTGTCTGTCATCTAAGTGTTAAAATTTGGTGCCACTCTCAAAACTAGCAGGCTGCTCCTTGAGTGGGCAAAGGAACCGAATATTGATGTTATTGGAGTCAGTTTCCACATGGGAAGTAGTTGTACTGATCCAGAAACCTTTGTCCAAGCAGTTTCTGATCCCTGATGTATCTTTGATATGGGGGTAGAATTTGATTTCAATATGTATCTTCTTGTTATTGGTGGTGACTTTCCTGGTCCTGAACATGTAAAGCTTAAGTTTGAAGAGATCTCAAGTGTAATCAGTCCAGCATTGGACAAGTATTTTCCTTCTGACTCTGGGGTGAGAATCATACCTGAACCAGGCAGATACTATGTTGCATTAGCTGTCATTCTTGCAGTCAACATCATTGCCAAG